CCAAACCTTCTCCAAACTGCCCCAAACCCCCCCAAACCTCCCCCAACCCCCCCCAAACTGCCCCTGCTTTGGGGTGAACAGCGGGGTTCCGTTACCGCTCTGTCGTCCTTGGGCAGCTCGGGGCAGAGGAAGGGCGGCTGCGGGTAGACGTAGTCGTGGGGCACGTCCCGCAGCGAGGGGACGAAGACGAGCTGAGAGCCGGCGCTGCCGGAAAAAGAGGGGAAAAACCAGGGGATTTAGGGACAAAGATGAGCTTAGAACTAGCAATATTGGAAAAAGAGGGGAAAAAATGGGTGATTAAGGAATGAAGACGAGCTGAGAGTCAGTACAGGTGGAAAAGGAGGGAAAAACGGGGGATTTAGGGATGAAGAGGAGCTGAGAGCTGGCGCTGTTGGAAAAAGAGGGAAAAAGCAGGGGATTTAGGGACGAAGAAGAGCTAAGAGCTGGTGCTGTAAGAAAAAAGAGGGAAAACCCAAACAATTCGGGAATGAAGACGAGCTGAGAGCTGGTGCCATCGGAAAAAGAAGGGAAAAATGGGCAATTCAGGGATGAAGAGGAGCTGAGTGCCGGCGCTGCCGGAAAAAGAGGGGAAAACCAAGGGATTCAGGGACAAAGATGAGCTTGGAACCAGCAATATTGGAAAAAGAGGGGAAAAAACGAGGATTTGGGGATAAAAAGGAGCCGAGAGCCGGAGATGTCGGAAAAAGAGGGGAAAATCAGGGGATTTAGGGATGATGATGAGCTGAGAGCCGGCGCTGCCAGAAAAAGAGGGAAAAAGGAGGAAAAACCAGGGAATTTAGGGATGAAGAAGAGCTGAGAGCTGGCGCTGTGAAAAAAGAGGGGGAAAGAGGGGCAAAAAGAAAGGGGGAAAAAGAAAGAAAAAGAGGGGAAAAAGAAAGGAAAGGAGGGGAAAAAGAAAGAGGGAAACCCAGGCGATTCAGGGACAAAGAGGAGCTTGGAACCAGCAATATCGGAAAAAGAGGGGAAAAACCAACGGATTTCAGGACAAAGATGAGCCGAGAGCCAGCGCTGGGGAAAAAGAAAGAGGGGGAAAAAGCCGGGGTGGGAATACACCTGCCCGCCTCACCTGAGCAGGGGAAAAAAGCTTCAAATCCGTTTTTTTAACAAATTCAGAAAGAATCCTGAGCCCGTTTGGTGTCGGAAAAGGAGATTTTGGGGAAAACCCCTCCCGGCAGGCAGCGAGACGGGCGCCGGCCCTACCTTCTCGTCCCGTCGATGATCGTCTTCAGGCAGAGCTTGAAGACATCGGCGAAGGAGCCCAGGAGCCGGCAGCTCTAGGAATTGAGGGAAAACGACGGGATTTGCAGAATTCCCTGGGCTTTTGGGGGGAGGCAGCGAGACGGGCGCCGGCCCTACCTTCTCGTCCCGTCGATGATCGTCTTCAGGCAGAGCTTGAAGACATCGGCGAAGGAGCCCAGGAGCCGGCAGCTCTAGGAATTGAGGGAAAACGACGGGATTTGCAGAATTCCCTGGTTTTTTGGGGGTGCACATGGACACCCCCGCCCCGCCCCCCCCAATGCCTTTGCCCTCCCGGCGTCCGGCCCCACGGAGCGATCGACACAGAATCCACGCGGAGGGATGGATGCTTCCGCCGCCCCGCTCTCACGCAGAGGGTTTTTTG